AAAAATAGTGGCTTTAAATGTTGTTATTAAATAAAGAAGCCTGAAACAAATGAACTAAGCATTCAGTTCAGGCAGATAGAAAAGGAAAAGCAAAATAAAATGCAAGGAAGAGGAATTAATAAATATTGAAGCTGCAAGTGATGACTTAGGTAACACCTCCCCTGAAAAAAAGAAGGTGGAATTTACAGCTTACATCAAGGATTATTATTCCAAAAGATCACTAAAACAGAAAGCATTGACAGGTCTAACCACGTAAAAAAGAGATATTTACAAATACTCAAGACAGTGAAAAAGGTGATGAAACCACAGTAATGGAAGAAAGTAGTATGATATTAAATTTGAAAATGAGAATGAAATATCTAACTTTCTGAGACATATACTAAAATTGTCTTAAAAAGATTTATAAAGTGTGGTCCCATAACCATGAAGGAAATTCCCAAATAATTATACTCAACGAGGCACTAGAAATAGATTGTTTTATAAGCCAGTTAATGGGAAACCTACAAGGAACAGAATATTCCTATACTCTTTAAACAAATATAATATGACAAGGATGGAAAACTTCACATTCTTTCTATAAGGCCAGCATGGCACTCTGGATACCGTAAATGCTCAGTAATATTTATAAACTGCTGAATGCTTGTTGATACTACAACAGACAAGTAAAAGAAGTACAAGAGAAGATCATTTTTGACTTATTGTAAATAAGATTTAAGATGTAGAACTCCTAAGTAAAGTATTAGCAAATCAAATCCAGGAATGTTTAAAGGACTAATAAATGGAATGATATAATATTTATTCCCAGAATATTGACTAATTCATTAATAGGAAATTATTTCAATTCACTATATTAATAGGTAAAAAAATTTTATCTTGAAAGGTGCTAAGAAAATATTTGATAAAGTTCAATATCCATTTTTAATTTTAGAAATAGACTTTAAATTAAAGATACAAAGATATTTTCTGTAACATGATAAAGTATTAGCTCTGTAACATCAATAGCAAACATTGTACTTAATGGTGAAATGCCAGAGCATGTATTCGTAACAGGGCCAATAATTAAAAATTAGCTCTTAAGGGGACAAAAAATCTTTATGTATAAAGTACAGATATACATATAGTACATAATACAAATATACAGTATATTTATATTAAAATTCATTTAGACAATTAGGAAAAAAAGACCTAAAAAGGCTCCTCATAGGGGCAACAGTGAAAAACAGTTGAGAAACACTCCTCTAGAGGATTGCCTGTTACAGTTACAAATAAGACAGCTTGCTAATACCACTGTTATTCTGCATTGTTTTGGAAGTTATAGCAAATGCAATAAGGCAGTTAAAATAAGTGACACATAAATACTGAAGAGTAAATGCCAACATTTTTATAATATTTGAAGGAAATAAGATTTTTTACAGAGAAAACATAAAAGATCATTTGGAAAGTGATTTCAATGAGAGACTCAGTAAGTTATCCGGCTTCAAAAAAAATGGCATGAGCTTACCCTGTGAACAGAGCTGAACAGTTTATCGGCAATCATAAAAAAGATTTGAGTAAGTGGGAAGATTCAATGTTGTCCATATTTTAAATGTCCTGAAATTATCTAGAAATTCAGTGTAATTGATACATTTGCTCATTTAACAAATCTGTGTCCAGCATCAGTTATATGCCAGATATTGCTCTAAATGCTGGGTATACAGCAGTGTATGGAACAGACAAAAACCCTTTCTCTCTTGGAACTTACATTCTAGCCAGCAGAGACAGACGAAGTGTAAATATAGTATGCCAGGGTGGTGGTGATAATTCCCATCAATATTCTTGTAGAATTATTTTTAGAATCTGACAAAATATTTTAAAGTTCATCTGAACCAATGCCTGTGAGAGAATGGCTGAGAGAATTTGTTAAAGATTAATTGTTCTATCAGATATTTAATTATAACATAGAAATTAAATCATTATGTTATAGGTGCAAAATAGATCAGTGGGACAAAATATAGAGGGTCCAGAAAGACTCAAAATGAGAATTTTTGTCTGTGATAAAAGTGGCATTTCAGATCAGTGGAGAAAACGGTGGCTTGTTCAGTGAAATGGTGTTGTGGGCTACTAGCTATTCAGTATTTCAAAATAGATTCCAAATGAATTAAATGATTAAATAGATAAAACAGATAGCATTAAAGTACCAGAAACTTGACTTTGAAAGCATGACTGTAGACGTAGCAAAGAAAAGTCAATAGGTTTGACATTAAAAGACTCAAAATTTCCTAAGGGCAAAGAGCATCATAAACAACTTGAAAAAGCAAGTGATAAACTGGGGAAGATATTGACAGTGTATATAATGGACAGAGGGCTAATGTTCTTACTAGAGATCTTAAAATCAAGGAAAATAAACTTAATAAAAAGAAGCAAAGGTCATGAAAATGGAATTCACACACAATGCAAGTTGAAACCACTTTATTTTGCCTATCAGATTGCTACAGAGTGCTAATACCCACTGTTGCTGTTGGGAGGATGTGTTGATAAAGCTTTTCTACAGGCCGGTTTGGTAATACATGTTAGAATCTTAAATGTACATCGTTTAACCAGCAATTCGTCTTTGTAATGCAAGGAAATAATTGGGTAAATGTGCAAAAATGTTTTGTAGAAAACTGTTCATTGTCATGTTCATAACAGCAAAAAATTGGAAATCATGTAAATATCACTTTGATTATACATCCATACAGTGGAATACTAAGCAGCCTGAAGATGATGTATACTTGTATTTACCACCACGGAAAGAAGCTGTTATACAGTTTATGTGTAAAATTGTACAGTTCATGTGTAAAAATCAGGTTGTGGAATGTACGCCTAGCATGCTAGTTTTATGAAGCCCTTGTAACCGTGTGTACATGTGCCCTGGCTGATGAGGACAGTATTATTGTGTACGCCAGCAAGGTGAGAGTGGGTCGCCCCCTGAGTGATGATTTAATTTTCGTATACAGTTGAGAACATTTAGACATTTCTGCGACGGGGTGCCTATCCTTTTTATAATCAGAGTGGAAACAGTGAAGCTCTTTTTAAGGAGGAGGTGGAGGAAAGATGAGCATGGGATTGGAGGCCGCGTTTTTAGGGGCCCCAGGGCCGCAGTGCCCCGTTGTCCTTGTGGAGGGGCTGTGGGCGGACGGACCCCGGTGATGGCTCCCCCGGATGGGGGCGGGAGGGCGGCGCCTCGGACCGGAATGGCCCCGCGCCCCTGGGTCCCTCTCGGAAGCGCTGTGGCCACAGGCTTCGCAGCCTCGTGAACTTTTGTGCCCAGGTCGCCGGCAAGGAGGTGACAGCGCCCAGTGCTGCGTCCGCGGGCCCTGTCACAACCGGCGGAGGTGTGCGTGCTGCCGCGTGCCAGGGCCGGCCGCTGCTCCGCGGAGTTCCAGGAGCTGGAAGGAGGCGCCCGCTGACCTCTGACCCACGCGGCCTCGCCCGCTGGCGGCCGTGCGTCCGGGGCCGCAGACGCGGAGCGGCGTCGTGGGAGGGCGGCAGGCGGGGCCGTCCCGCGCTGGCGGAGCAAGTCTAAAGGGCGAAGCGATCTTGAGTGCGGAAGCTGCCATGGTGTCTGTGGGAAGTGGTTAACAGTCTGGGAGCTCCCCCCGCTCGGGCGCGCCCCACGCGGCAGCGGAGGGCAGGGCGCGGGCGCGAGCGGAAACGCCTGCCGCTGCTCCAGGGACGGCGGATAAGCCGAGGCGGCCGTGTGCGGTGGTTGGAACAGTGCTCTTCGTCTTGGTCTGGTTCGTGAAGATGTCTCTCTTCAGGATTTCATTCCTGCCTCATAAAAATTCAGCCAGCCTGTATTATGATTATTTTTTTAAAGGTTATGGTCTTTTCAAACCTCAAGCAGACCCTAAGTTAATTGGGTTGAAAGTCTGAACCCTCAGTGGCCTATGTAGGGGGTACGTTTTGATGAGCCTTTCTTCCTTTGCAAAGCTTTAATTAAAAAATCATTGATGAAAGAGTTGGGTAATTCATTTTTATGTTTGTTGGACTTTGTCAGTTTTTTTCGTGCTTTTTAAGATGCCAACAAGAAAAAGATTTTCTCCCTCAGCTCTTCTTTTGGGAAAACGAGGATTGTGACAAAAATAAAAATAACTTTGAATCCTAAAACCATTGGATCAGTATTTTATGATAAAATGCTACGTGTAAATGGGAACTTAATCCTTTTAAGACAAGTATAAATATTTTCTGAAGGATTTTCTTAATTTAGCGAGCTCAGTATGATATCTGAAAGATACGTTATTTGACGTTTGTATGTGTTACATAGTCTTTGTTAAGCTGTGTGTGTCTTGTCAAAGAACTGTTTATTCGTGGTTTTAGATTTATCATCTACAAAGTTTGAATTGGTTATTTATTAGGTTCACTAATAATGCATCTTATTCACACATGGGTTCAAGGAAATAGTCGAGTTTATGTGGACCAACATGTTTCTTATGGGTAACTTTTGTATAAATCAAGTTTCCCCTTTTTTTCCCTATAGTATTCCATTTAGAAAATAATTCTTAATGCTTCATTATTTTGAGAAGAGGAAGGAATGGTTAAAGGGCTGGTGCAGTGATTAAAAATCTCATGAAAAAGGGAGGTTCATATTCTTTCATGTTAAATTGTAGTTTCTTAAAGGCTGCCAAGTTAATGGCTTGTCTTCTTGCGTAAGCCATTATTTTTGCAGACTCAGTAAATTCCCAGACTACATTTTCATCATTAATGAATAATTTTCTACTAGATTTGGTGATAAAATACTTAAATTTGTTAATTTGTTTTGTTTTGCTGATTTGTAAATTCCATTCGTGGTGTTGCGGAAAGAACGCAGAAACATGAGACCTAGGCAAGTCACTTGAACACTGACTCCTTAAGATCTCTTTCAGTTTGAGTAGATTCTGAGTCATTAGTCTGAGGGTTATAGTATAGAAGATGGAACAGTTGTTTTCAAAAGTATTTCAAAAGTGGTATCTTAAAATTATTAATATATAACCATTTCAGAGTTATAGTTTAAGCTTTGTGAAGCTATTTACTTTTTAACTTCTGAGTTATACACAATTGCTTGGTGAATATTTTCAAAGCTGTTTATGAAGATTTAAAAAAAAATCTGTTTTTAATATTTTTGAAATCCCCTGCCTTCATCAGCATTTTTGTGGGCTGTAAATGCAAGATGAAAATGCAATACAAGTGCTTTAACACAGTGAGAAAATTATCAGGTCGGCAGATGTTTTTTTTTTTCTGTGCGTAACACAGAAATGACTTATGCTTATGTCGAGTATCTCTTCCTATTTTTCTTTGGTTTATTAATTAAATGATAATTTTCAAGCTAAAGTAAAAACCTGTCTTTTTACTTGTTTGATCCCCTCTCTTCTCCTTCCTTCCCTCAGTTTGTCTCTTTGTTTCTCCTTCTCTCTATATTTAGTAAAACCAGAGAAGTGAAAAAACCTATGGTTTGTTTTGGAAAATAGGTAACTGTGCATTTGAATCTATGGTAAATTATTACAATGGTTTACTTTTAATAATTCATTAACAAAAAGTATCTGTAAAAGTTTTGTAGCCTAGTCTTTGCATTGTAACTTTTGAAAATGAGAGGGATAATTTTTTCCTCTCTTAACTTGAAGAGATGTGTTGCTATTAAAGAGAAATCAATATCCCATCTAATACTCTAACATCTAAATATAAGGTCTTAAAAATTCAGAATCTTCTAATGATATAGTAAAAAAATGTTTTATAATAAATACCCAGATTTTAAAATGAATAATAACATGCTTATATTATCGTTTAGTTTAATTGTGCAAAGCTAGGGAGTACCAGTTTCTATAGTCTTATATTAGTAATTGATTTAAAAGCTTGGTCCTGTAAGTAAGACTCTCATAGAATCCAGAACTGAAAGGGGTAAGGCAGAGATGATCTCATCCAGCTACGTTATTTATAAATGAGAAAACACTTTCAGAGAGCATAAAAGTAACCAAGGGTTTTTAATTGTTAATGCCAGAGCTTGGTTTAGAACCCATGTCTCCAGACTATTCATGGGTGTTAAGTTTTTGAGCTTGTTCTGTCAAGGCAATAATTCAGAGACATACAGCTTGGATGTACTTTTGTTTATTAAAATAAGTTTATTAGATTACCATGTGAATCTATTACTTATCTATAAAGATAAAATGTAAATGAAAAAAAGTCCAAAACTTTTTTGAAGGGTATTGTCATATTGTCCTTGTGTGAAGATGTCCTTTGTTCTTGCAGGTAGGAAGGAATTTATTTGCCGCAAAATGATAATTCTGTGGAAAACCTAGACCTCACATTAAAAATATCAAGGCATCAAGTTTAGAGATTATTTTAGCTTCTTTCATTTGTTTCTTTTAGAGAAACACTACTGAGAGGCAAGAAAACATTATGCCTTTATATTTCACTCTATCTACAGAAAATAAATCATTGATGAAATGTATTCACGTGCTTCCTTATGTCCAGAAATGTGTGTTTCGGTGTAGTTTTTATTGTCCCACTAAATACCATTTGCTGAAAACTGTACTGGCTTATTCATATAACAGGCTTGTACTATTTTTTTATTCTACTAAAAAAAGATCGCTAATAAGTATATGTTTATTCACTGAATACCACATATCAAAAGAAATCAGACAAATGTCTGTTAGCTGGTTAATTCCTATAAGGGTCCTCCTAGTTGCATTTATCCCTATTCTGATCCGGGTAGTTGAAAAATACTTGGAAAATTAACATGAGTCTGGAGACATCAGAATTATGATTCCTAACAGGTAGTTGAAAAATGCTGGGAAAATTAACCTGAGTCTGGAGACATCAGAATTATGATTCCTTTTTTAGCAAGCCCATAACTCTGTTTGGTAACTGACAGCATGTAAGTGTGTAGTATGGTTCTTAGGCTAAGAGCCAGTTTGTAATAATTTGCAGCTCATCTAAGTATACCTGTGTATGTATGTGAAATTCCCCTTGGGTACTCCCATACTGTCAACTTTTATCATTTGCCCATTTGTATCATTTAATCCTTTGTTTATTATTAGTGTACTTGTTCAAGGATATTGCATAATAAAAGTGGCTTATTTTGTATCTGTGATAATTTTCCTTACATGAGTAATAATAGCTACTTTACCTCTTGTCTCTATCATTATGCTTTCAAAGGATAAAATTAGCTTGTGGTATGTACTTTTAGGGTAGGTTTATTCACTTTATTGCTTACCTGTTTCATGATCTTAAATGGCTGTGTAATGTGAAGACTATGTATTGTTTTAATTAAACAAATGAGGTTTATGACAGGCAGAGGCAGACTTTTTTTTAACCTCTGTTCAGTGTATTTACATAAGGCAGACCTTATGACAGATTTTCAGTGTTGTTTCATTGCATTTGGAAAATCTTTGTGAGGAAAATCTGTAGGCACTTAATGACAGCTATAGATGAGAGCTTTCCTTTAAACATATTCTTGTTAGTCTGGCATGGGTTGTGAAACTGAAAATGTTCAGAAACTAAATTCTGTTTTCTTAAGACTTAGACTCTGTCTTGAGAGTGATAAGAAATTATTTCATTTATTTGTGATTTTAAACATGAGAACATTATCTGTAATGCAGGGTGTTTCCAATTAGAGGTGGGTTGAAAAGAGACTTGTCTTTCCATAATTCATTCCGCAGGTAATTACTGAGTGCATACTATGTGGTAGGCACTGTTTTATGTACTGTGGACATTGCATTGTAAAAAGCAGATATTCTTATATTTCTAAATTAAATGGCTTAATGGTCTTCCTGAGATAATGGTTTGTCCAAGTTTGGGGATATGTAGGTGATACTTCATGGTAAGGAAATGCCATTTAATTTTTGCATATGAACCAGTATAATGAACAGTGGATTTTCAGCTGCCTCTGGTTTGTTTGTCTGGAACAGAGCTGTATCCTTCGATCATAAATAAGAAAACAGATCATACTTTTTGATTCATGACTATCCATAGTGGCCCAGACATTACCTATTTTTACCAGACATTACTTTGTTGTACTAGGACAAACTTTGCATGTAACATAGTTAAAGATTATGATCCTCTCTAAATGCCCTCAAAATAGATTTGGAATATTGGGAGTAAATTGGAAATGCCCCTGTCCTTACTTTGTTTTGGTTTGCTGTTTTTTGAGACCAGAGGTATTCTAATTTCAATTCTGTTTCACACTAGGATGAGCCAGTATTCTAGTCACATAAGAAACAACTAAGGTTCTTAGAATGTGGGCAATCAGATACACAGATGACCTCATAGGATGCAGAATGGCATAAAGGAAAGAGTGATATGAGACTCCTGTGAATCAGGAAACCAAGGATCTGGTCTGTTTTACAACTAATTAGGTGTGTGACCTTGAAAAAATAATGTAACATCTCTGGGTTACAGTTCCTTTAGATGACAGGTCTAGACACTAATTGGATCAAGTCTCTTGGCTTTGATTCTGTGAAATACTGGTGTGCCCTCCTACTGATAAACAAAACCATTATGTCAAGGGTAGCTGACAATCTGATATTTTTATTAATCATCTTTTCAGTAATATTAATGTCAGTGGTAATTTCTTTACTTATTAAGTTTTCATCCTACTGTTTGTCTGGAAACAGGGATTATAGAATATTTCTGCTTAAAAATTTGGTTCTTTATGTGAATTAGGCCAGATTCTGAAAGTAATCAGTTGAAGCTACATGTATATCTATTTTATAGTCTAGTACTGAAGACAGGGATTAATAGTGTCAAGATAATTAAATCACCACTCAGTGGTGGTCCAATTTTCCATGCCAGTTGAATGAAGTATTTTCCTTTGTGAAGAATTGGTTTGTAGACAGCAATCAATGAAGCAGGTTAATTATTCATTCTTTCCTTGCTATTTGTTTTCCCTACAGTGTCATGGTATCTTTGGGGCAATATAATTTTCTTTTTATTAAACCAGTTGTTGGAACTTTGAAATATGTCTTTGCTCTCTTGAAAGTTTTTATTAATATGTGTTACTTTACTAAATATCAAGTTTATCAATTTATAATAGTTTTCAAGCACATTCTCAGAACAAGCTTTTCACTCTTTTGTCCATATTTAAAAACATATTTAATGAGATAGCAATAGTATGTCTCATTAAGAGAATACTTATTTGTGAAACTTCTATAATTTTATGTGTACTTAACTATTAAATCACCAATTATGTGTTATTTAATATCATTTTATTCATTGCTTGTTTGTGCATTTTGCTAATGTTAAATGTGAAAATAAATATTTGTCTTTCGATTCTAACAGTGGATCTTATGTGTTGATTAGCAGGAGAATGTTAATTTGATGTAGTTTTGCTTTATTTAAAATTTTATCAAAGCGTTATGTTTGATAAGTTTTTATTTTGATATAACTTCAGACTTACAGAAGACTTTCAAAAATAGTAAAACTAACTCACTCCTGTAAACCTTCTTTTAAATTGTAGTAAATAACAACTGTAAACCCTTTAACTAGACTCACCATTTGTTTACTTTATCCCCATTTGTTTTTACCATTCTGTCAGTCTATGTGTATATATTGTTTGAACCAATTGAAAATATGGTGCAAACATCATTGTTTTGCTGCTGAATACTTCAGTATGTAGTTATTAAGAACAAGAACTTTCTCTTATATTATCATAGTACAGTTATCAACATCAAGAAATTTAACATTAATACCATACTGCCTAATCCAGAGTTCAAATTCAAATGGGGAGAATTTTTCCAATTAAGTACTTTATAGAAAAATTTTTTTTTCCTGTTCTGGAATCCATCCAGAATCACACATTACTTTTAGTCATAATGTCTCTTTGGTGTCCTTTAATATAGAATGGTTCTTCAGCCTGTCTTAGTTTTTCTTGACCTTGACATTTTCAAAGAATATGGGCCAGTTATTTTGTAGAATGTCAGTTTAGGTTTGTCTGATGATTCTTTGATTAGATTTGGGTTATGCATGTTTGGCAGGAGCATTACAGAAGTTATGTTAGATTCTTCTCAGTGTATCCTATCAAGAAGGACATGATGTCTGTCTCAACATTGGTGATTTTAATTTTAATTAAAATTAAATTAAAATTTAATTAATTTAAATTTTAATGTGATATTTCTCAAGTCTTTATTCTGTAAACTTACTGTTTTTCCCTTTGTAGTTAATTAATTTGTAGAGATGCTTTGAGACTGTAAATACTCCTTTTGCCTTTTTTTAAATTGAGGTCATAATAGTTTATAACATTGTGAAATTTCAGTTGTACATTATTATTTGTCAGTCTCCATATACATGTGCCCCTTCACCCCTTGTGCCAACCCCCCAACCCCCTTCCCCCTGGTAACCACTAAACTATTCTCTCTGTCCATGTGTTTATCTTCCACATATGAGTGAAATCATATGGTCTTTGTCTTTCTCTGTCTGGCTCATTTCGCTTAACATAATACCCTCAAGGTCCATCCGTGTTGTTGCAAATGGGATGATTTTGTCTTTTTTTATGCCTGAGTAGTATTCCATTGTATATCTATACCACATCTTTATCCATTCATCAGTCAGTGGGCACTTGGGTTGCTTCCACTTCTTGGCTATAGTGAATAATGCTGCACTGGACATAGGGGTGCATAAATCTCTTTGAATAGTTGATTTCAAGTTCTTTGGATAAATACCCAGAAGTGGGATAGCTGGGTCATATGGTATTTCTATTTTTAATTTCTTGAGAAATACCCATACTGTTTTCCATAGAGGCTGCACCAGTTTGCATTCCCACTAGCAGTGTATGAGGGTTCCCTTTTCTCCACAACCTCTCCAACGTTTGTTATTTTTTGTCTTGGTGATTGTAGCCATTCTAATAGGTGTAAGGTGATATCTTAATGTAGTCTTGATTTGCATTTCCCTGATGATTAGTGGTGATGAACATCTTTTCATATGCCTATTGGTATATCTTCTTTGGAAAAATGTCTGTTCATCCTCTGCCTATTTTTTGATTGAGTTGTTTGTTTTTTTGTTATTCAGTTGTGTGAGTTTTTTATATATTATGGAGATTAACCCCTTGTCGGTTATATGATTTGCAAATATTTTCTCCTAGTGGGTGGGTTGTCTTTTGGTTTTGATCCTGGATTCCTTTGCCTTGCAGAAGCTCTTTAGTCTGATGAAGTCCCACTTGTTTATTTTTTCTTTTGTTTCCCTTGTCTGGGTAGACATGGTATTCAAAAAGATCCTTCTAAGACTGATGTCAGAGTGTCCTGCCTGCCTATATTTTGTTCTAGGAGTTTTATGGTCTCAGGTCTTACCTTCAAGTCTTTGATTCATTTTGAGTTAATTTTTGTGTAAGGTGAAAGATAATGGTCTACTTTCCTTCTTTTGCATGTGGCTGTCCAGTTTTCCCAACACCATTTATTGAAGAGACTTTCCTTTCTCCATTGTACGTTCTTAGCTCCTTTGTCGAAGATTAGCTGTCTGTAGACGTGTGGTTGTATTTCTGGGCTTTCAGTTCTGTTCCATTGATCTGTGTGTCTGTTTTTGTACCAGTACCATGCTGTTTTCATTACTACATGCTTTGTAGTATATTTTGAAGTCAGGGATTGTGATGCCTCTAGCTTTGTTCTTTTTTCTCAGGATTGCCTTAGTTATTCAGGGTCTTTTCTTGCCCCATATGAATTTTAGGATTCTTTGTTCTATTTCTGTGAAGAATGTCCTTGGAATTCTGATTGGAATTGCATTGAATGTGTAGATTGCTTTAGGTAGTATGGACATTTTAACTGTGCTTATTCTTCCAATCCATGTGCATGGAATATCTTTCCATTTCTTTATGTCATCATTGATTTCTTTCAATAATGTCTCATAGTTTTCATTGTATAGGTCTTTCACAACCTTGGTTAAGTTTATTCCTAGATATTTTATTCTTCTTGTTGCAATTGTAAATGGGATTGTCTTCTTGAGTTCTCTTTCTGTTAGTTCATTATTAGAGTTTAGAAATGCAACTGATTTTTGTAAGTTGATTTTGTACCCTGCCACTTGGCTGTAGTTGTTGATTATTTCTAATAGTTTTCTGATGGATTCTTTAGGGTTTTCAATATATAAAATCATGTCATCTGCAAACAGCAGAATTTCACTTCTTCATTGTCTATTTGGATTCCTTTTATTCCTTTTTCCCACCTAATTGCTCTGGCCAAAACCTCCAGTACTGTGTTGAATAAGAGTGGTGAGAGTGGGCACCCTTGTCTCGTTCCTGTTCTTAGAGGGATGGCTTTCAGTTTTTCCCCATTGAGTATGCTGTTGGCTGTGAGTTTGTCATATATGGCCTTTATTATGTTGAGGTACTTCCTATACCCACTTTTTTGAGATTTTTTATCATAAATGGATGTTGGATCTTGTCATATGCTTTCTCTGTGTCTATTGAGATGATCATGTGGTTTTTATTCCTTATTTTGTTCATGTAGTGTATCACATTGATTGATTTGAGGATGTTGAACCATTCCTGTGTCCTTGGTATAAATCCCACTTGATCATGGTGTATGATCTTTTTAATGTATTGCTGTATTCAGTTTGCCAATATTTTGTTGAGGATTTTTGCATCTATGTTCATTAGTGATATTGGTCTATAGTTTTCCTTCTTTGTGTTGTCCTTGTCTGGCTTTGGTATCAGGGTGATGTTGGCCTCATAGAATGTGTTAGAAAGTGTTCTGTCTTCCTCAATTTTTTAGAATAGTTTGAGAAGGATAGGTATTAAATCTTCTTTGAATGTTTGGTAGAATTCTCCAGAGAAGCCATCTGGTCCTGGACTTTAATTTTTTGGAAGGTTTTTGATTACTGTTTCAATCTCTTTACTGGTGATTTGTCTATTCAGATTCTCTGTTTCTTCTTGATTCAGTTTTGGGTGGTTGTATGAGTCTAAGAATTTATCCATTTCTTCTAGATTGTCCAGTTTGTTGGCATATAGTTTTTCATAGTAGTCTCTTATAATCATTTGTATTTCTGTGGTATCTGTTGTAATTTATCCTGTTTCATTTCTGATTTTATTTATTTGAGCCTTCTCTCTTTTTTTCTCAGTAAGTCTGGCTAATGGTTTGTCAGTTTTGTTTATCTTCTCAAAGACCTAGCTCTTCATTTCATTGATCCTTTCTACTGTTTTTTTCTTTCAGTTTCATTTATTTCTGCTCTAATTTTTATTGTTTCCCTCCTTCTGCTGACTTTGGGCTTTGTTTGTTCTTGTTTTTCTAATTCTGTTAGGTGTAGTTTAAGATAGCTTATTTGAAATTTTTCTTGTTTGTTATGGTGGGCCCGTATTGCTATGAATTTCCCTCTTAGGACCATTTTGCTGCATCCTGTATATGAATTGGTATGGTGTATTTTTGTTTTCATTTGTCTCCAGATATTTTTTGATTTCTCCTTTAATTTCTTTGATGATCCATTCCTTGTTCAGTAGCATGTTGTTTAGTCTCCACATCTTTGTTACTTTCCCAGCTTTTTCCTTGTAGTTGATTTCTAGTTTCATAACATTATGGTTGGAAAAGATGCTTGATATGATTCCAGTCTTCTTAAATTTATTGAGATTTGCCTTGTTTCCCTACGTATGGTCTATCCTTGAGAATGTTCCATGTGCACTTGAGGAGAATGTGTATTCTGCTGTTTTTGGATGGAGTGTTCTATATATATCCATTAAGTCCATCTGGTCTAGTTTTTTATTTCAATCCACTATTTCCTTGTTGATCTTCTGTCTGGATGATCTATCCATTGATGAGTGGGGTATTAGGGTCCCCTACTATTACTGTGATGTTGTTAATATCTCCTTTTAGGTTTGTTAATAGTTGCTTTATGTACTTTGGTGCTCCCGTGTTGGGAGCATATATATTTATAAGTGGTATGTCTTCTTGGTGGAGTGTCCCTTTTATCATTATATACTGCCCCTCTTTGTCTCTCATTACTTGTTTTGTCTTGAAGTCTACTTTGTCTGATATAAGTATGGCAACACCTGCTTTCTTGTGTTTGCTGTTAGCTTGGAATATTGTCTTCCATTCCTTCACTCTGAGCCTGTGTTTGTCTTTAGAGCTGAGATGTGTTTCCTGGAGGCAGCATATTCTTGGTTCTTGTTTTTTAATCCATCCTGCCACTCTGTGTCTTTTGATTGGAGAATTCAATCCATTTCCATTTAGAGGGATTATTGATATATGAGGGCTTAATGCTGCCATTTTATCGCCTGTCTTCCAGTTCTTCTGCATTTCCCTTGTTTCTTGTCCTGCGTATTTTGGACTACCAATTCAGTTTGGTAGTTCTCTGTGATATGGTTTTCTTAGTTTTCTCTTGATTTATCATTTGTGCTTCTGTTCTGATTATTTGTTTAGTGGTTACCATGAGGTTTGTATAAAAAAATCTCATAGATGAGATAGTCCATTTTCTAATAGCCTCTTCTTTCCTTAGAGTCTAAGTCCATTCCATCCCTTTCCTCTTCCCCTTCTGAGTTATTATTGTCACAACTTATTACATCTTGTGTTGTGAGTTTGTGGTTAAAATGATGAGATTATATTTATTTTTGATGTTTTCCTTCCCTTTATCTTTAATGTATAGTGTTTGCTAACCTGTTCTGTCAGTGAGCTGTGATTTTTCTGATTTTGTCTACCTATTTATCTCCTTGCTCAAAGCTTTGTAACCACTTTTTTTTTATTTCAGGTATGAGGGCCTTCTTGAGCATTTCTTGTAGGTGGGTCTAGTGGCAATGAACTTCCTTAGCTTTTGTGTATCTGGGAATGTTTTTATTTCTCCATCATATCTGAAGGATATTTTTGCTGGATAGAGTATTCCTGGCTGAAAGTTTTTGTCTTTCAAAATTTTGAATATAGCATTCCACATTCTCCTAGCCTGTAAGGTTTCTTCTGAGAAATTTGCTTAAAGCCTGATACATGTTCCTTTGTAAGTTATTTTCTTCTGCCTTGCTGACCTTAATATTTTTTCTTTGTCATTGAGTTTTGCCAGCTTTACTACCATATGCCTTGGAGAAGGTCTTTTTACATTGGTATAGTTAGGAGTTCTGTTGGCTTCTTTCCCTTGTATTTCCAGCTCCTTCCCCAGGTTTGGGAAGTTCTCAGCTGTTTATTATTTCTTTGAACAAGCTTTCTGCTCCATTCTCCTTCTCTTCTCCCTCTGGAAGACCTATAATTCTTATGTTGCATTTCTGAATTGAGTCAGATATTTATCGGAGAATTTCTTCATTTCTTTTCAGTCTTAGTTCTCTCTCCTCTTCCATCTGAAGCATTCCTGTGTTTCTATCCTCTAAATCACTAATTCTGTCCTCCATAATATCAGCTCTGTTACTCAGGGAGTCCAGAATTTTCTTTATCTCATCCATTGTGTTTTTCATCTCTGACATTTCTGATTGGTTTTTCTTTATAGTTTCAATCTCTGTTTTGAAGAAGTTCGTGATTTCATTGAACTATCTGTATTTTCTTGTAACTCACTGAGGTTTTTTTATGATAGCTACTTTGAATTCTCTGTCATTTAGATTATAAATTTCTGTGCCTTCAGGATTGATTTCTGGGTGCTTGTCATTTTCCTTCTGGTCTGAATATTTAGTATATTTTTTCATACTGTTTGATGGCGTGGATTTGTGCCTCATCATAGTGATAGTATCTGGTCGCAACTTCCACCTGCCGCCACTGGGTCGGGGTCAAGAGCTGTGTATTCTGAGCCCACCGTGATCCCGGCTCACTTGCTAACAGCTGCCGCGTTTCTATCGAATGTGTGAGTGCTTTGGCAGACTGGCCGAACTGGAGTGCTGGGCAGGGAGAGGAGCACTTTCTTTTGTCTGCACGATCCTGGGGGTGTTCTCACTCTGCTCTTGCTATCTGCTCTCCTGCGATGCTGACTCTGCAATAGCTTAGTCACCTCTGTGTGGGGCTTTCCCACGGGCTATGAGGGAACTTGGAGAGCAAATGTGTTCCTCTGGAGGGTTACCCCTCCCCACTCTCCTCTCAGAGCCGTATGCAGTCCAGAGCCCAGGTTTGCTGCCATTGAGGAAGGAGAGGAGATCCCCTTACCTCCTACCACTTCCTCTGGGGGGGTCCAGCACCTCCACCTTCAGACATATGGCTGCGTAGGTCTCTTGGACATCTTTTGTATTGTGTGAATGTCCTCTGTTGATATATGAATGTCCTTTTCGTTGCATCTTAGGGGGCAGAGTCTAAGGGGAGAGGTCACTCCGCCATGATGCTGACATCACCCTCTTTTTTCCTTTTTACCAAACACTACTTTTAGCATCCTTTGATAATTTCTAATTGCATCATAACTTCCTTATTTATTAGTTAACATTCTATAATAAGGGAAAGCTTTCTTTTCTTGTTTATTGATTTATATTATTAGGATGGACTTGCATATGTTCTTTTATAAATAGATTACAATCCATTGCTATCATTATTTTTTTTAGATGCTCAAATTGTCTTAGTTTTGGGCAATGAGAGCCCCTTCAGTGTGGCTTCTATACCCTTTTGACATGTCCCCATCATTCTCTGAGTACTTCCTTACTGACACAACAAAATGTTTTAGGCTTATCTTATACTCACCCTGCCTTAGTCCTGCAATCAGCCATTTCTCCAAGGCTCTGGTTCCTTTTATTGGATAATGGTATTTAGAAGCTAGGTATGCTCATTACTACTCTTGTATCATTGCTTGTAGGCTCTCGGTATACAGAGTTAGGACACACACACACATACACAGTCTACCAGATATATCCATCTGTCTATCAATCATATATATCATATGTCATATATATCTATGAAAAACTGTGAGTTCATAAATCTTCTGTGAAGAATCTCTTCGGATCTTTTGCTCATTTTTTAAAAATCAGATTGTTTGTCTTAAGTTGAAAAAATTCTTTATATGTTCGTTGTATAAACTCATTTGTCAGATGTATCTATTGAGAATATTTTCTGTCGGTCTGTGGTTTCCTGTTTATTTTCTTTTGATGAGAAGTTTTTAATTTTGATGAAGTCTAAATATATCAGGTTTTTTCAATATATGGTTATTGTTTGTTTTATTGAAAAAAAGTCTTTACCTATACCCAGGTAATGGAGATATTCTCTTATTTTATCTTCTGTATAGTTTATAATTTTAGTTGTTTGTTTAGGTCTGTGATCCATCTTGATATAATTTCTGTAAGTGATGTGAGGAAAAAAGTTCTTTTTTTTACCCCTATGTGGATACCAAGTTGTTTCCACACTATTTAATGAAGGTATTTTTCTTTCTCTCGAACTGCTTTGATGTCTTTGTCAGAAATCAACTGGTTACATAAGTGTGGGTCCACTTCTGAGCTCTGTTCCAGCCCACTGATCATTAGGTCATTCTTATGCCAACAGCACACTATCTCGATTACTATAGATTTATAAAAGTCTTGAAGTCATGTATTATAAGTGTTATAACTTTTTTCACCTCTTAAAGTTGTTTTGAAAAATTCTAGGTCCTTTGAACATCTATAGAAATTTTAGAATTAGCTTGCCAATTTCTCTGTATAAGCTTGCATGAATTTATACGTCAATTTGCGGAGAATTGATATTTTTATAACATGGAATCTTCTGATCCATAGACACGTTATAGATCTTTACTTATTTAGGTCTTTTTTTTCTCTCTGCAATATTTGAAGGTTTTCGGTGTAGAAGTATTGTACGTTTCTTTTATTAAGTGTATTTTTAATTATTTTGGTTCTTATCACATAGAATTTGTAAAATTTCATTTTCTAATTATGTACTACTAGAATGTGAAAAATAACTAATTTTTGTATATTGGCTGTGAATGCTGTCATCTTGCTAAATTCAGTTATTAGTGCTGTTACTTGCTTAGGAGATTCCCTAGGTCAGCCTGTTCCTGGAGAGA